ATACTGGACCATAACGATATACGCTGTGAGTAACAGCCTAATACAGAGATACCAATTACAGTAGAGCTACTCTCTTACATCCTCCATAGCTCTGCCGAAGTTGTAGACATAGACGCAGGAGAATAAAGATGTAGATACGAAGAATAACATCCCAGCAGTCAATAGCCGACGAGGTTTGCCAAAGGAAATCACAGTAAGGCAAACGGAAATCAGTAATAATACACCACTTGCAATTTGGACCTGTCAAGAGGAGGAGGAGGTAGAAAGAATCACCGAGTCAGTGTGAAAAAATATGCACATAGAATATGAATTTTCTGAGAGATTCTTGTTAGCACCTAAACACGTCTACCCTAGTTCGTATATAAACTCCTATAATTATCGATAAAACTCTTCAGCTCAGCTGAGGGAAGCGCACATATATTCCCCCCACACTGCACCGATGATGCGACTCCTACACACAAGCACTTACCACCACTCCAGACACCATACTCAGGGTGTTGCCATTGATAGGTCCATGGAAATTAATCGCGACAAAAGTCATAGCAACGACCAACCTGCAATGGAGACATCCAATGAGGAGGCGTAGCCCCTCCTTACAGCAATACACCCGCTACTGCCCATCTCATATGACGGGTTATCCAGAAGGTTTGCCGTGATCTGGCCCATAGTCGGTATCTGGTATCAATTACCATGAACGACTGAGACGCCGCTCTCCTAATAGCTTAGACATACTCTTTTTCATCCACACTACTATCGAATTTGTGGGGGGTAGGCGCTCTGTAGTTATCGTCGAAGTACTTCAGTAACGAAGCAGAAACGCCCTAAGCAGGAGCAGCAGGAGATCTTCAACAGAACCCTCTCCTGAGGACCCATCACACACACAGACCCTATATAACCCACCACGAGATTCGACAATACGACGAACAAACTTAATACAGGTATTTAATACTGTTTCATAATATATGAGGTCATTCGTGCCACCAGTTTAACTATATATCATCATACCTACACATTACTTAATTTTATTTTTTTCCAAGCAGCACTCACTCTACCAGGCTGATAGCCAGTGTAAGGGTACGGCTGCAAACTCTGCAGCTCCAAAATGAGCAGCCAAAGCCGGGTGTATGCACTTTATTGAATTCATATAGATGGTATATGGCCGGGAAACGCGCTAGATATATTAATAACTATAACGTTTATTCATAGCTGGAAATGTTGATTTGCAATTTTTACTATTTCGTCCATACAAATATATATATATATATATTTTTACTCATACCTATTCAGTATACAAGACAACGTATTCTATTCGAACTCACGTGAATGCCGAGGTCATAGGAGCCATCCTTCTCTCCTTTGAACTGCAGTCTATCCATCATCGATGAGAACAGATCCGACTGAGCCCTCAAGAGGTTACTACTGCCCACCAGACACAGACCGAATACCTATCACATCAGAGCATCCTTGCTAGGCTTTAAGTTCACTATCTTCTACTTACAAACCAGTGACAAAGTACAGCCGCAAGTATCATCATCATGTGCGATGCACTGTCCCTAACCCTATAACTATATGCCAACAAAGTGACATCAGCGCCTGAATGAGAAAAGGCTCACTCGAACGAGGCCGACTAAAGCAACTTACCAATCAAATAGAGCGCAACAGCGAGAAAGCTGACACTTGGGAAGAGTCTCGAACTCATACAAGTGAAAAGAAGGACCAAAGGGATGGGCATTGCTCGTGCCGCGGTAAATGTCGAATGACCATCGAGGAGGCAGATGAACTCGCAAACCACCGTTAGTAGAATCGATGTGGCCACTATAGTATGTGTATGCTTCACGGCTGGGTTGAGGAGTAGGGCGATGCCTCCGAGGAGGAGCATCAACTGAAGGGGAGGATGGTGGGAAGGAAGTGGAGAAGAAGGAGGACTTACTGGGCCAAATATGAAGTAGAAATACCCCACCCAGGTATCGAACGGGGATGCCAACATGAGCGCCGATTCCTCATCTTGCTGTATTGCGGCTTTAGTGAGGAAGTAAGTCGAAAGATGTTCAACAGTGTGGACGATGAAACCAACGAAAAGGAGGTAAACCCAATAACGGAAATTCCAATTGTTGAATGCATTCCAAAACTGCATTGTGAAGTTGCCTAAATGAGGGGAGGACGACATCACGCTGATGAGCTCTCAATGATGGGAGTACTACTCACCAAGGAAGAGATACTCCCCGGCATTGACGTCTTTAGTTTCGCTATCAGCATCCTCATAAGCTCTACTTATCCTCGACAGCTCCGCTGCCGATAGACGACCAGCAGCTGACGCTACCCTCCGCAGGTCGGGCGGTTTACCTTATACCAAAATAACCATGAGCACCCACAATCCACAACGCATTGTTGCTACATGAATCTGAACCGGCACGCGAAGCACAGTTGGACTCTTCAGCCTCGGGTTGTAATCCACCCAGGGTAGTCCCAGGTGGCGGCTGAGCTAAACAAGAGCGGATCATAGAAAGGGAATAAGAGGATCCTGTCGAACAAGTATTATGATAATACTCAACGCAAGGATTGGCAGTAGTCGAAAGCCAGAGCTTGACGACTTTCAATGAGGGCGGAGAGCAACCGGTGGTTCGCTGGCACCCTATGGATAAAGTATGGCTATTGGGTGGTTGTTGAAGCGAAAAAAAACAAAGAAATCCAGTCACAGTACGTACAGCAATTGATCTTTACGTGATTAGAACTACACTTGAGCTAATTGTAGTCAATTAGTGCAGCCGACTGACCTGAGCTTGGTATACCCCCTCGTAGTGTAGGGCAATGCCACCTAAGTGTCAACAATCAACAACAACAACAACAACAACAACAACAACAACAACAACAACAATCAACAACAATCAACAATCAACAACAACAACAACAACAATAACAATCAACAACAACAATAACAACAATAACAACAATAACAACAATAACAACAATAACAACAATAACAACAACAACAACAACAACAACAACAACAACAACAACAACAATAACAACAATAACAACAATAACAACAATAACAACAATAACAACAATAACAACAATCAACAATCAACAAGATGCTCACCTAAGCCCCTCTCAATGGTGGTATGCTGCTGCTGCTGCTGCTGCTGTTGTTGTTCCCCTCATCAGCAGCGGCAACAGCCTTCTCATGTGAGTTAAGTAGAGGCTCTCTATAGGCAGCCTTAGCTGTGAGCTTGACGCCCACTCCACGCCGCTCGAATAATTTACACACCGCCTCTGCCATAGCACGTACATCGTTGCGGCTGAGACAACCAGTGTTGGAAAATATGCACATGGTCAACTTCAGATAAAACTTCGAAAATTTATTGCTGATATTCATGGTGTACGAAAACCAGCCAGAATTTTCCAATCTAAGTGGGAGAATTGAATTCGTGGACATGAACAGTGAGGAGAAGAGAACAATATATTCCAACAGTGGAGACAACACGACAAGTGCACTCTGCTCCCAAAAGCATCATCTTACTTTTTTTCCAGATCCGTCAGCGCTCGTTGTGTCCTCTCAGTAAGGCAGGCGACCTCCTCTTCATTCAACACTCTATCACGCGGTCCTATGCTACATCTCGGCAACGCCCGTACGTCACCATAGTCTTGGTCGTCTACCAGCACCTAAGCAATGCATTGTTATGAACCATGTGCATCAGGGGTGTACCAGTCCCGTGAGGAGCTCGGCATCTGCGGTGTCTCGGCCACCATGCTGTCGACCATCTGACAGGCAATACATGAAGTTATTGACTGTTTGAGTGGATATACACACATTACAATAAGAAAATTTTCGGGAGGGAAATTTTCGAAAATCCTCGGAAATTTCAGGATTTTCATGTTTTTTTTTAAATTTCTGGTAATTTTTTGTAATTTCCGGCAAATTCTTACAAAGCTTCATCTGAGGGAAGCGAACATGTGTACCAATACTGGTAAGTAAGAAAGCTCTTACGAACTACCTGGCGAGCCTTGAGCTAGCTTCGTTGCCACTCTCCAGCTGTCCCGCACGAACACAAAGGGCGCGCAGACGATGAACACAGCGAACTCTAGCAGGCCCGCCACTACTCCTGAGATCAATCACTCTATACAGTAGAAATTAACCGATCTAAAACATTGGCCTCTCCTCATGCCTACCTATGAGGAAACCGCTAACTCCTCCCGTCTGGCCACCTTGGACCATCCGTACGAAGAGCCTTGTTGCTGCTTTCAGCCCTCGCACCTGTCAACAATGAACTATGTAAAACTATATAATGAGAGGCCAGAGTGCCTTACGAAGTGAACATAGAGTATGCCTCCACGAGTCCTTCCCCAATCAGCTGTCCTTAATGGAGTAACCAACACCCCCTGGGATTCTGATAATGCGACGGCACATACGGGGCCTAATAGCAATAAGGTGTACCACTACTGATGATGATGATGTGGTATTGTTATGGTACATAGTCCAACATCCCTTAGTGTATCATGATACTCAGCAGCCCTTGGCCGATATGATGTACCATAATCATCTTCCCATCGACCCATCACTCTACATAACTCACAAGTAACCAATTCCAATGGTAATTGTCGTTGAAAACCCAACGCGCCTTCATGAGCACCCATACCACGCGTACGCTCCTCCTACAATAACAACTATCCTTATCGCGACAAGCCTGATTGCACATGCTTACTCTGAAACTCTCCTGCAGCCTCTTAGCCGCCACCTTAGCACCAGAAGTGATGCTAAACTCTAAACATGCCTTCACGGCCTGGGGTTCTACGTGTTCTCTACGCAGGAACTTGCCAGCGCCGTGCAGTTGGACTAGGCTACCTGAAAAGGCATTCCACTTGTACAGTCATCCCAAAGGTGTACTAGCTAAGGAATTCACAAGCCACTTCGAGAGCTTACCCCAGATCCATTGGTCCCCAAAGAAGGATATAACGGAGGTTGGCAGGCCAAAGTCCAATCCCATAGCGGTAGTACCGGCACCACCATGATGCATAACAGCACAGCATTTGGGGAAGAGGTAAGTGTGTGGTATGGCTACAATGGAGGAGGGGATCATCGATGGACTACTAATACTCTTATTGTTATTGACGTACATGAAAGGAAGGCTATGTTATCTCGGCCTAGGGCTTTGAGTATATCATATTCCCAGGTACCCTCGGCATACTCTATTGATGATGAGTCCACACAGTCATCACAGAATAGGCCGTCACTACTGAGAACAACACATCAGAAGAGCCGATAAAAGACGTCAACAACTCCCCTACTGTGAACGAGCCTCGGGCTTCTTACCACACTTCGGGCAAATCGCAGGAGGAGTACAAATGAAGAAAACTCGATCCTTCAAGTCTGATAGAATTGGAATAAGAGAGTAAAGCAGTTGATGTAAGTCACTTGGGATGTGAATGAAGTCCTCAGCGGTTATGTCCTTAAGAGTCCCCCATCCCTTCTGGAGGACAACTCTGAGATCGGGGATATCCTTTATTGCCTCTAGGATGGGTTTGTATCTGACTTGGGCACCTAACGCGTCACTGCGCCACGAAATTGCTCCTCACATATCCGACAGATCCCCAGCTATGCTGCCAAAACCAATGTAAAGAGGCTTATCCCCGCCTCTCAAGAACTTACCAAGAGCAGCGGGTGGCTCATAGGTTACATTTTCTTCACCTGACAGTACAACTCCGTGACCGCGCGCCACGAAATTATCAACTAGCGTACTTCCTGTCGAACACACACCCGTGATCTCAATGTTCGGGCCCCAGTCCGGGGGCCTCGGGAACAGAGACGGTGAAAAGCAGTACGAGAAGGGCACCTACAAAACAAAGCATCATACGCTACAACCGAGAGAAGACTCTCCTCGAGATTTAAAACTGAAAACCCGAATCAGGAAATTCTATAATGTTCCCGGGGGAAACTCATTTCCAATTTTCCACATGGCTAGGAAAACATTCTTCAATCAGTTTCCCATGTGAATATCACCACATTAGGAACATCTTCCGCATTGCAAAACGTAATTTCCCAAATTTTTGAGACAATCACAGACCCAAATAGTTCAAATTGCAACTACAGTTTTTCTTAATCTCGGTCAATGACATATCCATAAACTGCGAACCACAGTGATACGCACTGATCACGACAAACCACCGAATACAATCGATAGAATGGTGTTCATAATGAACCTCGCTCATCTAGATTCACAAGCCGACCACACGCATGCATTTTCATTACGACATACAACAGCTGTCCTCAAAGGTCGCAACTTACCCCCCAGTTCTCCAATAAGGACCCAGCGCTGTGCCACATGCTCAACTTTGGTATGTGCATCACCTTCGCTCGGAACTCGTTGATAGCCGCCGCCATACCATGCCACTGCATCTGACGAGGACAACCACAATAGCAGATCCCCAAGAGCTCCCCTTCCCACCTGGTCAAACCAACTGTAGCTTAGAAAACGCCAATATGCATTGTCATCGAGCTCCTTTGAGCTCATTGGATGACCCAAAAACTTGGTACGTGACCAGGGCATTGGGAAGAACCTAATACCACAACAACGAGAGATTATAATAGAGATAAGATAACAGACCTACATGTGTAAGGGAACTCCGAGCCTCTCAGCGATGTGAACATGGACATACGCTGGAGGATTGGAAATCATGGCGTGAGTAACCCAACGCTTCTCAGGATTACCTAAGAAAAATGAAACACCTCGCGTTACTACAATACGAAGTCGACGGGACTTGGCAAAAACCAGCTAGATGACTGTTCAGCAGTGTGGGGAAATATGCATATGGTGAACTACACGTTTTGGTGACAATATGGAAATTCTGAGGAAATTACCGTTGGTTTTTGTACACTTTCACCCCGAGTCGTGTGTGAATTCCTAACATGAGCAAATCCGACATGTTTTTAATTACTTTTCACCGCAGCCCAGGCGCCGACATTTCCGCTCTCCCAACCAGGAGAGAAGAAGAGAGATCGACACGATTGCATCATCTCAGTGGTGTGTTGTAGTACGAATGACATATCATGAGGACTGATGAGGAAGCCGGGGCTCCACGAGGGGCTTTCAGCCGCATATCTACCATGACATGTGTGATCGAAAAAGGTAGTGAGGATAGACGTACCGCATTAGAACCTCAGGTTGCCAATGGCCCGGGGCATCAAGGGCCATTGGGAAGAACTCTATTCCTTTTCTCTCAACCATATCTCGGAACTTATCATGAGTGCAGATACGACAATGATGGCCCATCGCGTTGAGCTCCTATAAGGGAGGGGGTTGTTATGGATATGATAATGTTATTATTATTATTCACCTTTGAAATGGCGATGTACGGCTCAACATCCCCACGGCTGCCAACATCAATTAATGTTATGTTCATCCTTGGGATATTATTACCCTCCGGTCGAGGGAACATCATCATCACCTTATTAAAGAATAATAATAGTACGACGACGACCGCGGAAGAGGATGGGGTAGTACCAAATCTGGACGACGACACACAATACCGTTAATGACAACTTCAAGACGATGCATTCTGGTCTCAATGACCCCTTCACCAGCGTGATCGAGATTGTCAAAACTCAGACATATAAACCTGCCATTCAGAAGATGCTCATCGAGACAACATCGTCTCCTTATGTTGATTACTGCTGCCATTCAAGAGGCTCCTTCCGGGCGTGCAGAACAAGGAGATCCCTCAACTTACGAGTCGACTGCAGGCATAAGTACGAGCCTGTGAGTAACAACGTGTGATAAAGTATTAGTCGCCTCTTACTTTCTTGATTATGAACTCGGAAATAGTACATAGTTTTGGTACTAAATTCAGTAGCACATCCTTCTACCGATACATACGTATCCGGTGAGGTTGGTACTTTATCACGGGAGATGGCCCATAGGAGACGCCAATGACTTTCCAGATTTATGGTATATAAGAAAGCTGAAGGGGAGGAGAGGCATATAGTGGGGGAGGAGGAGGGAGGATGACAACAACAGGCAACTTACCGACTGCTATCACTATGATGAAGTTAATCAAATCTGCCATGGACAACAACGGTGACGGATGCTCCAGCCAGAATTCCGAACTAATAACAAATCGCTCTGATGAAAAGCGGTGATGGCTACTAACCTTATAATAACACCAGTAGTGACAATAACGTCAATGCATAGTAGAGGTAAGGCACCAATATGGGACATACTAACATGGCTCGCTATGATGGTGAATAGGCCCTAAGCATACCACACCAATCCCTATTGCTTACAACACTACGAGGACACCTACCGGATCAGTGGCCCAAACCGTGCGAGCCATCACTGGCGCGAAATGTACCATATCCGAGGCGTTCGACCTCCACTGAAAATCCACAAAATGACCAGAAAGAAAAACAACTCACCCCACCTCCTCTGCTGCTCGGCCGTAGTTATAAATATACACGCAGGAAAACATTGCGGTGGATACGAAAAAGAGGAAAGCGGCGATCAATAGTCGACGCGGCTTGCCAAATGAGATAACCGTCAGACAAACTGACATAAGTAGAACTAGAGCACTGACCACTTGTACCTGCGAGCACCCATGCTAGCCGATTCTCCAGGACCAACACTTACTACAACCCCCGACACCGTGTTGGCTGTATTGCCATGCGGACCAGCATGGAAATCCGCAGCAACGAAAATCATAGCGGCAACGAGCCTATGAAAGTTCATGGGAGTACTGTAACGTGTGAGGCACTCTTACAAGAGGACGCCTATAATGGCCCATCGCATATGACGTGTAATCCAAAAAGTTTGGCGAGACCTGGCCCAGAGGCGATAGCTAAAACGAGGGGAAGAGAGGGTATGCATATACGTACATGCACACACTGCCTTACTTCTTCTCGTCCATCGTCGCGCTGAACTGCAGCGAATACGCCGATTTATAGTTTTCCTCAAAGTAATCCAGCATAGGAGTACTCACGTCCTGAGGTCGATACACCTTTAGTGAGAGGCCCCACAACGACCGATGCGATTCATTCCAGAGCAATTAACCATTTTTCCAATTTTGCCACAGCCAGCAGTGAACGTGTCGGAATAGGTGTTCGCTTTCCTCACAAACCGAGCTCAGGAGTTTCCTTACTGATTACACGAGTTTTTCTTCGAATACGGCCAAAACTGTACAGAAACAAACGAGAATTTCTCGAAATTCCGTCAGAGTTTTCATATCGTCCTGCACACATATAGTTGACTACTTGCATATTTCCCCACAATGCCAGATGTATCCAATATGACACCCAATTTCCATTCAATTGAAATTCGCCATTTTAACCTCAGGTAAGAACAGTTTAGAGTGGTTGTGGTTTCATATGAAGCGCCGCTATTGTCCGTAGCTGCGGTACGATCACCCACATGAATGCCGAGGTCATAGGAACCATCCTTATTCCTTCTGAACTGCAGTCTGTCTATCATTAAATAGAATAGATCAGACTGAGATCTAAGGAGATTACTACTGCCCACCAAACACAAACCGAATACCTGACGAACCAAACGAGATCACCACACAACTATATGAGTGTCTACTTACAAACCAATGGCACAGTACTCCGGCCCATACCATAGTCGTATACGGCGCTGCATACTCTCTCGAGGAGCTGTACACAACTAGAGTAATGTCGACTCCTGAGAAAATTCCAGATACAATCCTAGCTCAGCGCGTCCAATCAGCGCTGGGTTTAGCGATATAGCCTGTTCTTTCAAAAATAGGCAAAGTCATCCTCCATCACTTCCCGTTCTCGAGAGCCAGTGATTCCCCTCATTTCTGACTACAGTATTATGCGCAATCTCAAGAGTCCACTCCGTGAATTACCATAGTTCAAATGGAGCCAAATTTTTTTACTCGGGCCTTTTAGCACGATTAGAAATTCCAAATCTTCAAAACGATGGTTACTCACCTATCATGTAGAGCGCGACAGCAAGGAAGCTGACACTTGGGAATAGTCTGGTACTCATGCAAGCGAGGAAGAGCACCATAGGGATGGGCATTGCTCTGGTTGCGGTCAGTGTGTGCGGGTTGCCGACTACACATACGAACTCGCTGACCAGGGTCAATACTATCGATGTGGCCACTATAGTATGTGTATGCTTCACGGCTGGGTTGAGGAGTAGGGCGATGCCTCCGAGGAGGAGCATCAACTGAAGGGGAGGATGGTGGGAAGGGAGGGGAGGAGGAGGAGGACTTACTGGGCCAAATATGAAGTAGAAATACCCCACCCAGGTATCGAACGGGGATGCCAACATGAGCGCCGATTCCTCATCTTGCTGTATTGCGGCTTTGGTGAGGAAGTAAGTCGAAAGATGTTCAACAGTGTGGACGATGAAACCAACGAAAAGGAGGTAAACCCAATAACGGAAATTCCAATTGTTGAATGCATTCCAAAACTGCATTGTGAAGTTGCCTAAATGAGGAGAGGACGACATCACGCCGATGAGCGCTAAATGATGGGAGTACTACTCACCAAGGAAGAGATACTCCCCGGCATTGACGTCTTTAGTTTCACTATCAGCATCCTCATAAGCTCTACTTATCCTCGACATCTCCGCTGCCGATAGACGACCAGCAGCTGACGCTACCCTCCGCAAGTCGGGGACTTCCCGTTGACTATCACCTGAACACCCTTTCTCCAACTCAGCAGTCAGCGTCTCTACTCTCACCTAGATAGACGCTATCATAGACCCCACCAAACGAAGGCTCCGTAGACGGTACAACGCCCGAACGGATCATACTTATAAGGAGGCCTATGAATCGACGAACATGCCCTCCCTCGATCACGTCGATACCTATACTCAACACATCCTCCTATATTCGAATAGAAACTCCCCATGCAACAGTCTACGGCACTCCTCCCCGTCACCAGCACCCCAGCCAGGAATGTTCGACATGTCTACCAAGTCTCGGCAATCGTGGACGTTTCTATAAGCATGCGGACGGCAAAGCATGAGTGACTAGTCCAGAGGGGAAGACCGGCCTGATCCTCATCCCTCCCACTAGAGGACACAGTAGAGGTCGCTCCCATGCCCATATCGAAAGCAATCATATGGCCCAACTCATACAGGACACGTTGCTGATAGAAAATTCGAGGGCGCGAATCGGGACGAAATATCTCTTTCGCATCCTGTGGATCTGGAACCAGGTACAAGTCAATGGCTGAGCTATTCACGGCGATCACAATGCGGCGATCAACCGACCGAGAGTGCGAGAGAGCCGTCCTAGCCCTATATGGGAATCATTCGCCCTATCCCATATCAGCTTTTCTCATTTTCATGAGCCCAATATCACTCGCGTACAATCGATCCTACGGAAGGTACGCATGTCAAAATCCAGGAAAATTGTGGATACGCTAAGCTCGAGATTTTACATATTCCAGTGTGGAATCCACACGACCAAAAACTTGTAAATTTATACGCGGATTTCCGAAGTTTTCGGCGGCTTCCGCAAGAAATTTCCACATGAACTATAGACTTCGTAGTATGAAATAATAGGTCTCTTATTGTGCCACACAATTTGTATCTGTGTGACCTACAAACTGTGTAGCCGTCGCAGGCGATGTGCAATGCTCATTGCAGGCCCCATATTCCCGACACTACCTCGGGACTACATCCACTTGGAATAATGTATGAGAAGCATTTTTCAAGGGGCTAATATCAACGACCTAGAGTGCAATACTGGACCAGTATTACAGCGGCCATACCTCGGCCTTACCATCTACTCCAACACTAGTACCAACCAGCATATGTGGCCACCTCTCGACTCGCCACAAGAGGCCCCATTACCCGGCCTTAGTGTGCCTGAAGACCCTTAGCCATCCATTCGACTATCAGTGAGTCCAGGCGATGACGCCTAAAATTATCGGTGCCTAATGGTATGCCACGGTGCTCGGAATAGCTTCGATAGGGAAAGTTATTGTCAACAATAGTTAGACTACCCCGGGAACTAGAAGAAAATTAGGGAAGTAAGAACGATCAATGTGCAATGCACTCGTGGCTATATGCATCTAATGCATTCAAGCCCCGTAATGGGTCTTACGGAGATTCAGAGGACAAAACGAGGATAGATAACTCAAGTCGACCAAATCGATTTCATGTGAATGCGAATCCGTAGATAAGGCCGCCTTGGCAGTTCCGGCCAGCCTGGGAATAAGACGGACGGAATTTGTAAAGGAGACGAGTGGCAAATGCGAAACCAAATGTTACTCTCTCAGCGGTTCGGTTGAATCCGAGCCACAAGAAATGAGTTTAACAACTATTCGAGCTATCGTGGAGTGCATTACAGCAAATCTTTCCGCCACAGTTACGCACGCCGTAACGTAAACCGTAAAAAAACGTTACGCTGCCCATATATATTACGTACTCTCTACAGCTCTCCCCTACTCGTCGCCTGAGATTATTCCACTGCTCTCTCTGAGCAGTGTCTCGAGTAATCAAATTGCTATGGAGTACGGATAAGACTTCCCAATCTCTCGCCGCCCTATTGTAGTACCCTTGACCGATCGAAGCTATCGCCTTCTAATAAATCTTTTACACTATCTCACACATCCTCTGCTAACGCATATCTAGTAATGTAATAGAATCCTGGGCCACCCTCCCACCCATGGTCCTCGCAGAGATCTCTCTATATAACTTGTTAACGACCCCTCATCAAATATCCCTGTGAAGGCTTTAACTTTTTTCGACACTCCCAAACACTCCCGTCTAATCGCCCGCAACTCTTCCGAAGATACATTTCTCGACGAGTTCCCCGCTCGATCGTCCACACTTGTACTCACCGACTCTTTTGACGATGATAATTCCCGTTGCTCTCTATGCTCCTCACTGAGGAGTCCTCACTCTTCAGCCTTCCTCTCTCCTTGTACTTTCGCCGGCGTCTTTTTCCCTGCTGCATCCTTCCTACTCTTTGCCGGTGATCTTGGACTTTCTTTTTTCATCCCGGTAGAATATGGTGTACTTTCCAACTCAGAGCTGATGGTGCTGGGCCATTTGAAATTATAGACATAAAAGCGCTCGCCATTCTAATCGATAGGCTGATCTTAGTCATTTTCGACGCGACTGCAATATTGAATTGAATTCCCTTTCACCCAACCTTTACGGGGTGTCATGGACACATGTCCCGAGAACTCGGTCAAACAAGTAAGTGCTGTTGTCCAGGGGAGCGCTGGCAGAAAATGAATCTCTGTGAGTTTAGGCTCGCCACCGACAAATGACCTGCGGCTGGGATTCTGACGTCGACCCCTCGGTATTGCCTCCACCCTCGATGCCCTTCCTTAGACGTGATTTGTTCCAGCAGGTTGAAGATGTCGAGAGCGTCGCTAGTGGCCCAGATTTGCACACTGCGATAGTAGGATTGCCACCAGGAGCCGAGATTGTAGATGAAGAGAGCAAATTGACTGAGAAGGTCCTAAATTGGGTTGGAACTCGATTGAGTTTTCCAATGGTGCACTGAGATAGACTTAGGTTCCGGAACTTCTAGAGACTATGAATTCATCGGCTGAGCGATTGAATACTCTAGAGAGGGAGCTCGGCGCCGTAGAGAAGCGGAGACATCATCTAGCAACCGAGTGGAGGAAAAGAAAACAACAACTTTTGCCAGTAATAAGACTCTCATATTGTCGAATGATACTCGCACTTATACAGTCTCCTACGCTCGTCTGTCGAGGACTCAAACTCTTCATTCGCTGTGAGTTATAATGTGCTTGGGAAATGCGTCGTTGTTCTTGGCTGTAAATGATGTGCGTTTTCAGCTTATCGGCCGGTCGGTACTAGAGAGGACCAAAGCCTATTATGAAGCCTGTGCTCTTCTGGGAGACTCTCAGCAGGTGAATGGTCCATCAGAGTTCTTTCAGAGCTCAACTATGATGCCTCTCAGGCGGTCCATACAGCTACTGGCCAATTTAAGAAAGCAGTCGAGGAAGTGGATAGGATAAAGCTGCTTATGGCAGGAGCAGAGGATGGTAGTGATAAATTTCCTGTCTCGTAAATTCATGGCTATTTGTTGCCGTCGTTGGGTCTGTGACACGCAGTGCATTGCGATACTCATACTCACTGGAGATGAATATACGAATATTATATTGCATGTCACTCGACGGATCAATTTAGTTTGATACCTCGACGAATCTGAGTCTCGATCTATTCAGAGTTCTCCGCCATTGAAGAGGAGGATAATGCGGACGTTCATGCTAGTGGCACGGCTCGAGAGTCTGTCTCGACTGGCAGTACTGTGGGAGATGATAAGGAGTAGGATGCGGGATGGATGTGATGGAGCTATTACTCCTCTCTAGTTCCATGTGTTGTTGTTATCATACTTTTTCCTTTTCAGTAGTGACCCTGTTGAGGCAGCTCCCAGCAGTAAACCCGGAAGGCATAGAACTAGCAGCATTGTTTTGAAGACTGCAGATGAGCAGGTAGCATCTCCCCAACGTATCGCGGTACAGCTATACTCTTTCAGATCCGACTTGCAGAGCTTTCGGCTAAGCTGTTGGCTGCCCAATCTGCTCGGGATGCTGCCGAACGTGCTTGCGTGATGAGAACGTCTGAGTGAGTTCAAGCCCGGCGATCTTCGAGTTATCGCGAGTTTGATATAGTCTCTACCTGTTCAGGTACCGATCCCTTCAAATGCTTATCGCTCGGTTGAAGAAAGACGCCACTGAACGCGCTATAAAGAAAGCCGAGCCTTGGTATAACAACTTCGCCACGTGAGAGCTTTTCCTGGTCATATTGAAGTAGCCAGCCTTTTCAGATTCTCCGAAATGAGCAACAGAGAGCTTGCCAAAGCTGGGAAGCTGAAGGCAAGCATTCGAGCGACGAAAAAAGAGTATCAGGAGGCGATGCAGTCTCTCGAGCAGATATCGAATAAAGCAAGGCGGCCTTCACTAGTAGATGTGTATAACTCTATCGCTTTCAGGTTCATGAGTCTCGGCGAGGGAACGACGAAGGAATCTAAAACGTACTTCTGTCGATGCCTGTACACTGTTAAATATGCTATCATAATGACTGTATTATTGCTAACCACGAATGTCTTATTTTTGTCACCTTCGGGATGGTACAATTCTGCCAGTTTTAACATTCGATCGCTACATTTGCGGTAGTAGAGTTAAAGTCATCAGTCAATTCGAGCTGTAATCTCCTGAGGATGACTATCCAATCGAGAAGCCGAGAAGTGAACTCCAGTCTAAGCCAGGCTTATAGTCTTAACACGATAAGATCTTGATATATTCCTTTTGTGAGGAGATCCCCCTACGCCGGAACGTAGCTGTTAGAGCTCGGTGCACTCCAGCTATTGTACCGTGGTGGCCCTAAATAGCCCGCCGCCTGCCCGCAGTAATGTAAGCACTGATGCCGTTACTTTTGATCATGATGATATCATGTTCGACGTAGTGTTTAGTTGACGCCATACTATGCTATAGTCCCCGATACGAGAGCTTAGGATCTCACTCGGGCTAGGTTTGCAACGGTCTCATTCAATGCCACGACTGGGGCTCAAGTGGGCGTCCTATTGCAAGACTTGGCAGGATCCTCAGGATCCTGCCTCAAAGTCACATTGGTTCTGAGGATCAGAACGAATGTGATCCGCGCAGAGGAGTCCGCTCGAGAAGCACAGAAGTTTCCAGCAGGTTGGCCGCACGCCTAACCGCTCGAAATGGAACCCCCATTGCGACCATCGCCCTCACTATCCTGCGATGTCAGTCTCTGTGCGTCCCGCCTCCCTCATCACGGAGATCAGTTATGACCATCGTAAAACTAGCCCATCGAAAGACAGTCCACCAAGTCATGCACTGCAAGTGAGTACCATGTGGTTTCCGTCCAACGTAGGTCACCGAGAATTTGCCTAAATCGATTGATTCTTTTCTCGGGTTTTTGTCCTCATATATCATTTCTATTATTCAGACGCGGGCTTCCATCGTGACGCTCATCCTAGCCGCAATATTAGCCTATCTGTACTACCTCGACTGTGATCTGAGGAAGGCGTGGGAGCATACAACGATCGGCCGGAAAATGGCCCTGACAGATCTACGCAACGAGCGGGGTATTCTGGAGGCAAGAGTAGGGAAACTGCAAACAACCCATAGAGTGAGTCGTCACAACAGAAAGGAGGGTGCATTGAACCACAGCCAAACTAGATCCCGGGTTCGAACCCTGGCGCCGTCATTCTGAATGGCAATACTCGATTATGTGCCTCCACGTGACTCCCATCACTCCTTTTCCTATGAATATACGAGAGCATCTATCATCCACTGTGTTCAGATTCAGCGGCGCCGAGTGACCGACTTGACCTACAGGCTTGAGATGATGCCAGAACATAACGAGAAGAGCCTCGCGAAGCAGCATGCACGGGTGACGAAGATAGAGGAAGAAATCAACATGTGGAAGAGATGATAGACTGCTTATTCTCCCCGTACACAGTGTTAAAGTTCTTCGTTCAATCCTGACTGAACCGCGGCTCTAGCAAGTCCAAGTCTTGCATCGATAAGGAACACTTATAGGAAAAGTGAACATGGATTATCATCAGATTGGCCCTTAACACCTCATCAGCTCACAAACTGCGCTCGAAGTCTAGTCTAAATACACCGCAGGCTTCCAACCTTAGCGAACATATGGACACGCCCAACACACAAAGCAGCGATACAACAAGCAGGGCAGGCCGGTACTAACACTTGTATCGACTCCAGGACGGATACCGCGCCCGACTACTGTCTCTCATTCATGGATTCTCTCGAGTCGTAGTATACGACACGTGAGCCAAGGTTTGTACTGCTTCCTAAGAGCTGCAGTTGATGAGTATCAACTCTAGAGAACCGTTGCGATGAGTTTATATCTTGGAGATAAAACACAACCAGCGAGTTGTTGCTTGTGTCATCAGAAGTGGTTACGAGCAAGTGAGAATAAGGCAATCCATCCGAATCGTTACGGATGGTCGGCCCGGCCAACTCAGCCCTAACAGTCGACTGCAAAGGATTTGCGAGTGATGAGATCGTCGAGCGAGTTGCTCGAAAATTCCCGCATGTAACGGCTTTTCCTCAGCCACCTAACTCGCGTGAGGCGAATACCGCAGAAGTTGCAACTCAGTTACCCACTTGACAGTCGCAATTGTCCCCACTTACAGTGACATGCCGGAGACCCCGTTGCGGACTTCAGCGACATCAGCTAGCTAACCAGTGCTCGGGCAGAGTACACAGATCTCTATGGATTTGGCAAAGCCTATCGCATGTGATAACTGCTATCACATGTTCTGATTCAACGTGAGTTACTCGCTGCACGTGACCTTGAATCAGAACTTGCCAGTGGGTTGCCAGACTGACTCTCCAGCTGCCGCGCTACATTAACACAGTGTATTACAGAGGAAACTTTCCGAAGAATCTCCCTAGAACCCCATACTGGAAATGCGGGGGCTCTAAGATAATGCGGAATAATTCCTACTTCAATCTACTTACTCAGAGATCAATGCGTATGATAGCATCCAGAACAGCCAGGATTTAAGGAACGAGATTTACATGTGGGGTAGGTCCCCCGATTGGCGCACAGTAAGCAAGCCTTTTAAGAAAGTCGCGACCATGACACAAGCTCACGACTTGACTGGAGCGATGCTGTTCAAGCAGAAATAACCAGCGCAAGCGTTTGTCTACTTCTTACACGATCCCGCACCTCGTGCTCCGTTGTGATAAATCATATCACAAGCGCGGCTACCTAGCATAACTGGTAATGCTAAAGATATGATATAGTAAGTTGCTACATGATCTTACATTTCTGGTAGCAACTCAGTTACCATGAGTGCCACAGCCCTCAGTGGGAATACTAAATCAGATAACAGACTGTTATTAGCAGTATGCTTGAGTCACGCGACCTCGGTTTGTTGCTAATTTTCGCCATTCAGCATATTCCGCTAGAGAGCGAAGGCAAACTCTCGATTAGCCAAGATTTATGAAACTCTGATCCTGCGAGGAAATCAAGGCAAACCGATCCCCATCATGGCGACGTTACAGTGATAGACGATACCTTGAAGCTATCAACTCTCTCGCACTGATGATCTGATCATCTGTTACGACTCAACTCAAAGAGGCTTAAACCAATGCGGCCTGCACAGGTCTTACGCGAACATCAAGAAGAATGACAGATTTAGTTGTGATTCCAGTTGTGACCAAGTTCCTTTGGGAGGGCATGTGCGCCCGGATATAATAAAAATAAGTTTACAAGTACAATGGTGCATGAAGTGACACGATCTTACAAGCAAGCACTCACGGGCTCAATTCAGCCGACTCGGCAGAGTTGATCACACCCTGTTCGATGCGTAATGTAATTACTTCTGGTTCGATGACCTGAACCCGACCACAATTCAAATTACCCAGTATGGCAGCTTTCCAGATTTTAGGACATATCAGTGCTACCTCTTCTTCTATCGTGTCGGCGACTTTGGATCGGACTTTCTCAGGGATTAGAGAATCAAATGAAGAACGACATAATGGACAACACAACCTAGTATGAGAAGCTTTCCTACACATGTGTCATGCATAAAGCTTACTTGTGAGACTTGCAAAACCATTTTGTCAAGCAGTCACGATGGAATCCATGATGACATGTTCGCAGATGGCAATCACTGTCCGAATCAAGACATATGGCGCATTCCGACTCGGGGGTTCGTGAGGAGGGGGTCGACCAAACAGCATCAGCGTCATCACAGCAATCATCGAAATGCACCACCAATGGTAGCAACTCTCGCTTCACCACGTCTGCATCCCCAGGAACCTGAATATCACCCCCGACTGCATCATCCGACGTGACTGAGTGAGGGACACGATAACCTACCCTAAACGTAAAGGGTTCCTGCATTGTCACTCCTCGACGAATCAAATCCCGACGATTTTGTCTCCACCACTGTCTCGCAGACGCATGTGCTTGATTCAATCCGTGCTCTCGAACTTCCTCAATTGAAAGATCGTTCGGCCACCACGAGCGAACTAAATAGGGGTCAAGTCATTCATGAAGTTATACAACGATTATTCACTTGTATACATACCCCACATGCTAGAGTGGCACGTAAAAGGAAAAAATCCGAAGAAAGTTGAAGTTTGAAGGGAAACGAGGGCAAACGTTACTATCCCATTCGATCAAGCTGCGAAAAACTGCCTTGCACTCATTGATCTCGTTCATAGCTCCGATGAACCGTTTCAGATCGTTACAAGATATTCGAATTCATGGAATATTCATACTAGAGATAACTCGCGTGCAATGAAGTAGGGGCGCTTTCCAGCGCTGGAAGAGATACGTAATTTATCGCAGTGGATTATTCAGCCATCACGGATTAGTCCGACTGATTCAGTCGCTGCACTCCTTTGTTATTATCACAACTTTTGCCCTCGTTCTATCTTCTAAATCATGTTGAACTAGGGCACAGTTTAACTGTGTGTAATAGATTTGTGTGTGAGTGAGAAACGATGCCTGGGTGGCCCATCAGGGAAGAAGGGTATCCTTCCTAGACAGAATTCCCCACAATTCCCGATGATAGGAAGGATGAGCCATTCTTCTTGGTTATGATGCAAATTGCCGTGCAGTATCCGAGACCGGATCGTGGGCCCCTCAGTTGAAAGTGTCACTTCCAAAAGCTCGCAGCCCGAGCCCACATCTATACTGTGGATCGACAGAGTGTCGGTACCCGTACTACCAGTCAAGATGACATCAACGTCCATGGCGACCTCAGCAACGCAGACATGCGCTGGTTTATCACCAACTATCCCACTGCCCGGCCGACAAGACAACGGGCAAGCGAATGATATAACCCTCCATACGTAAGAGGAGAAGAGGGACTGAGGAAAATGAGTGAAGTGAAACTCAGCAGTGGCATTCGATCCAAATAGCTTGTTAAAAGCTGCTACTACTCCTACCAAGAAATAGGCGATGCTCGAGCTTCGTTTTGATGACGATGCGGGATTTGCTACCTACAATGTAGCACAAGACCTCGCTCCAAGTAACGAATATAACATCATCACCTGGCCGGATGGAAACGATTCCTCCATTCCTCCGCGGATCGGCGATCCAGGGGGGGCTATGG